CCGGATCTGTTAACCTTTCTGCCGGCGGCATCCATTGATCAGACAATGCCCATGCGATGTCCTACATTCTCATTGTGCTGCAGGCTACAGTAAATAGTTCTTATTCTTGAGGTTTATTCGCATTCCGGACACCTTCACTATCAGAATTCGCGTGTTGGACTTCAAGCCACGGCATGCTCCCCGTTATATCACCCCAAACCTTATAGTTTTTATTTATAACGTGCACGAATTTGCATGAAAACAAGAATTATCACGTAATCCATTCTTTGAAAAAAGTTTTTGTCATTCTCCTGCTATGGAGCAACTGCCGTTTAAGTTCAATGAATTGCACTAATAAACCTTCAGTTATACCTAAGTTTATTATAACGGACTCGCAAATTTTACCAAAGGTACAGAAATTCGTTCATTCGATAAAAACCTGTGTGGAACAGTTCAGAAAATATCTTACTCGAGTAGATTTGAAGTCCATTGTGCGAACACTTATTGTGAACGTGCCCGGAATAGGAAAAAACGTCAAAGACCAAGAGCTGTCTAGTGTCGACTGTAATCTGTGCTTGCAGCACAATAAGCCTGTGGGCCATTGTGTGGGCATTGTCTGATCAATGGAAGCCGCCGGCAGAAAGGTTTACGGATCCGGCAGAAAGGTTAATGCAGTTCGGCAGGAAGGTTTACGGAGCGTAAACCTTTCTGCCGGATTTCGGCGGAAAGGTTTACGCGGTGCCTTTGACCGTAAACCATTAACCCGTAAACCTTTCTGCCGGCTACATCCGCACACCATCTTTTCACCTCTAAACCAAAAATTAGGAAATTGACTGTAGTTATGTAGATCACTGTTTCTACTAAATGTCGCTTCGTATACTTTGATATGCAGTCTTTTCGGAAATTTAGACATCAAAGCAGGGTGTGGTTTAAATGCATCCTGACAGAGAACGTGCACTTTGCAGTGTATAAATGCTTGACGATTCTTCTCGCACATTAGACCACGTGATACTACTGGTATTGTGGCTCGATATTGGCTAAGTAGCATTCATGTACCTCGTCAGGGCAACGGTCTGGGCGCACTTGCTATACCGACTTTGCGTAGGAACTTTTAAATTTATTGAGCTGATAAAGCGTTTACAAAATAAAGGCTTAATAGCTCTCGTCCTCAGTCAGGCTGCTTTTAGATCACATTCACCCCAGTTTTTGTTTTGCCGTCTGAGCAAAATTTTCGAACAGAGGGGAATGGTCTCTGTAAATTTCTATAATTACCTGTCTCCTCAGCAGTGTAACGGCGCCAAACTCTACCATGCAGATACAAATAATAGTGCCGGGGAAGACGATCTCCGAGAAGTTAATTTCGCCGGTGCCAAAGACTCTTAAACCAATAAACGCCCCACTTCCCACGGCATAAGCATGATCGACAAATAAGTTGATTTCGAGACTATTGCTTAAAATTGCGCAAATTCGCATAATCTCCCGGTACTTTGGATAAGGGTTATATATATCGCCGGCTGCAGTGCCGGGGTGAACTTTATCCGCATTTTCAGCGAATCTGCCGTTAAGAATTTTCATGGAACTGACTAAATGGAAAATAATGCCGACAAAGAAAACGGCCTTGAAAAAGGCGGTGCTGTACTGAAACCACCAATACACGCACGTTCCAGCAACCCAAAAGGGAAAGGGGATCGTGAAAGGCATTGATGGAATAATGAGAAAATCTGCTAAGTCATCGATGTTGATAGGGCCGGGAAGTTGGAGCGCATTCACCATTCCTTCCAAAAACGTGCACAGTGTCGTTAAGCATATACCAGCGTAGCATGCCGAAGTGCTGATGAAGAGACTTGATCGCGGCTTGGCCTGGAATTCAGTGCCAATTGGAAGATACCTGGTTAGGTTCTCGTAACCGCGTCTGCAGATCAGCGTCAAAATGATAAGTAAACTTGGTTTAATAAATAGAGCCATCCTAAACAAAAGAACAACGAAGTCGAAATATGACGGATCACTAAAGTTTTTCACTAAATCGACTATGTTCGCTAGTGCGAAAAGCGACAGGATTAAAACAACAAAAACTGGATATAAGAACAACGCTTTTCTAAATGAAAAAAGCGGCGTGAGTCCAACACTGAGCATGTAGGTTTTTACCAACGTAATGGACATTTTTCACCGAAGGAGGACGACGCAAATAATCTGTTTTACAAATTATCATTAGAACACAAGTGCGCACGGCAGTTAAACTGTCACACAGGGCGTTGTTATTTTTCCCAGTTTAATAATCCAAAATTTGATTTAAATAGCTGATATTTTGCTCTGTTTATAAAAGTAAGGTTGTCGGAAATTTAACTTTTGTTTGCACGACGTCTGATCAGTTCCGGCTGTGGCGCCCCCCTCGTTAATGTACTGAGTCGATCGGCAGTTGAGTAAAGAATGACAGCAAAACTGACAGCATTTGGCTTAGCCCGGCGTTTATTAGCTCGGCTGCATATTATTTAAACAACCGCTGTGTAGCGATCCTTTCAGTAAAGCACCTAAAGTAGCGCTGCAACAAACGGTAAACTGCATTACGCTCGGTTTTCTGGAAATCCCGCTTTTACTGCTGTTTGGCTGTGTAGTAATATCGAAGGATGTCGCGCAGTTCTGCTTCCGTACGGTAATCCCGTTAAAAAAGCCAAAAAAAAAACGAAAAAAGCGTACCAACAGCCTTGTAAATATCCAGTTTATTGCACATCACATCGCTCCGTTCTTCAATAATATTGTTCTGTAGTACGGGGTTCTGCAAGCATTCGAAAGATGCCTAACATTGCTAAAAGGGATGCCAGTGGGCACATAATGCAGGTTAGCTCAGACCGTCAGTGTGGTTATAAATATGCAAGTGTGGATCCGTTGATTTATTTGACAATTAGAGACTCAGAGAAAAGAATTTCGTTAAACACTTTTCGTTAAATACTTTTTCGATTTCCCTTTTTTTACTAATCAGTTATTGGAATCGTTATTTTGTTACTTCAATCTTCTTTTCAGCTTCCGGAGGTTATTCCGTGATGTAGCCGTTCCAGCGTCTGTGAAGTTAATCATTACCAGCAAATACGGTGGTGGATGCCACTGGATGGTATGCTTTGCGGTTGGAGATCTTGTACAACCATACTGCTTCCAACGGTCATATGCTGGCAATGCGCAGTTTCTGGTATAGCTCGGGTATAGCTCCTTATGTTTTCCATTGTGTTTTTCCATTGTGTTCTAGTGATGTTGCCACGTGAAGCCGAAGATGCCGGTGGCCACGTATCCGACCCATAGTCGCGGTGATGCTGCATGCCTTCATGTTGCGGTGCAGTAACGGTTATCAATACAATCATTTTACAACCTATATTTAATTTATTTTACAACAAATAAATTCAAAATGAAGCTGCTCGTGACACTAGTAAATGGCACCAGCGCCTTGATTTAATAGTGCTGGTTATTTTTTAATGGGTAGTTCAACTGGATGTTGGTTTAACCCGCAAGCGCTAACGTTTGGAAGCTTAAGCAGTATAATTTGCTTGGAAGCAGTTACGCTTTCAGAAAAGCAGTTACATTTGACAGGTATGATCGATTGGCTCCCAGTTGGTAACATGCGGGGGGAAATTACCGGGGAAACATGATACTGAACTACACTTGTACAGCTGTGCTTACAACAAACAGCACCATGCAATCCATCGCCATCCCACAATGAAACGGAAGAAATCAATGTGCCGTAACTGAGGAAACATCGTATCATTAGCGTCATCGGTGCAATTGTGAATTCGGCTATCGCACATTCGTTTGTTCAAGCAGACAGAAGCGTGAATAAATACTAAGCAATTATTTAATAACTGGGAGTGGGAACAGATAATACAGTGTACAGATTCAAGATCTTTGTTAAGTAAAGCCCTTATCATCTTGTGCTTAGTTTCACAGTTACAAAATTTTCATGGAAAATTAATGGCTCACGGCCAGAACATTCCTATGTAATCGACCGAAACGTATACGCTTCAGTCGGTCGGTCGACATAGAGGACCTTTGCTATATAGCGAAGGTCCCTATGCTCAGCGTCTATCGAAAATTTGGTGTTCGTACGTCGGTCTCTACCAACAAATGCACGCATATATTCACAGCACTTTGTAGTCGTGGTGTCCGCCACTTGATATGAAGAGCTTGAGCTCGAGGGGGCATTAACGTGTATACGTCAAAGTACCCACAGTGATGAAAGCGCTGTTGTCTTTCCTTTGGTCACCGCTACCCGAGCGTACTGCTATATTTCTTAAATATTGCCACCCTGCAAGCACGTTTTTAAAACAAACTAAAACCGTGTACGCGCTGTAGCTGTCAAGTTTTATTCCCGAGCTGGTTAACGGAAGAATCTACAAACGCGGCAGGAGCTCCATATCCCGTGCGCGATGGTTCGCAGGGTTATTGCAAAGGTGTCTTTGGCGACGGTGGGTGGTATTTGAAAATACATGCACAAATGCCGGCTTCGCGCGTGACTGGTGGTATACGTCGGCCACCGCCACGTGATTGAAAAAAGATAAGCGCACAGTCACAATTTATACTCACAGCTTGTGACCGTGGGTTTCTTGCTTTGGTCACCGATATCTATTCGATCATTGTTATATTACTGCTAAAACTGCGTACCCCTGAAATAAACCATACCCCTGAAATTAAACCATACCCCTGAAAATACGTTTAAATAGATAACTAACCGCCGGATGAAAGTCTCCATTCTGGTACGAAAGAGGTCACAGACGCCGCTCGATATAACAAGTGCTACGAATGACATGTTCAAGTAGTGGCCTGGCCCGAAAGTTCTGTAATTTGCAACTTGTGTCCTCCTCTTCTAATTGCTGCTCTCGTGGTCAAAGTGTACCAGGACTGGTGAGACGATAGTTCAACAGGAAAATTTTAGTTTTAAATTTAAAGTTTTAAATTTCGTGCGCCGTAAAATGATGGCGGAGCATAACCAGACAGTAATGAATAACTTTGTCACAGACTCACTGGTGAATCGTCCCTGAAAATACTACCAGTATGACCTTGAAAATACCATATCCATCGTGCGCTGTCCAGTTAAGCATACACTGAACAATAATGTTCAAATAAAACTGTTCCCTTAACAGCAACGCTAAATAAACATTTTTCATTTCCTGATTATCGAAAGTAGCAATTCTTAAATTACTATGGCTTTCGCGCCAAATTTTCAATACGCATCTGAAAACGTGCACGTATCGCGGGATCCACCGTGGTGTTGGTCAGCACTTCGTAGTACGTGTGCGTCAGTTCAATAGCGGTCTGTAAGCGATAAGCCAACATCAGCCACCAACCCCAGAAGAGAAGCAGTCCAGAGTTCTGCCACCAGGTAATCGGATTGTGCATGATTTGGGCGTAAGGATCTCTGTCCAGATACACACACAGTCCGTAATCCATCACGAAAATGACGATGGGAACGATAATAATCGGAAAACGGCAGCGGAGCAGTCCAGCACAGGCACCCGTGAGCTGCTGCCGTACAGTAGCATTGTCGATGAACGACCGCGGATTCCGCATTAATTTCTCAGCCATCGGCAGAATCCGGCGGGCGCGGTACTGCGCTGCGATTGGACCGGCAGAATACAGTATTACGGGAATCCCAACGGTATACAGCAGGTACATTGCTCGTTTACGAAAACGCATGACTTCCAGCTGTGAAACAAAATAATTCTTGTTACTCTGAAAGGAAAATGCCTTTCACGATTTTGTACGATCTTTAATATGTTTAGCCAATCATTATTATTGACTCTTTTACAGTCCAGAAGCCCGTCTCGAAAATTTAGTTTGGACTACCGGCTTTTGTGAAACTTATTCTGACCTGTCCCGAAGCACAAGCCGGGACTAGCAACTAGTAAACAAGCAATGGGCCAGGTCAATTGCTCTGTGTAAGCCGCCTAAGACGCGTAAGCGGCAGTCGGGTAAAAAAACATGACGTCACGGCGCGTAAGCAGGTAAACGATTTGATTGGTAAACCAGAATTCTGGGATGGGTTTTCAGCTTACCCGTGCGTGTAACCGTTGCGCTTCGGAATCGAAGCGCAACCGTTACCCAAACTACGAGTAACTCGTACTCTCCTGCACAGATGAACAAAATTTTGTTTGTTTGAACCAAAAGTGCATCCAGCGACCCAGATGCACACTCGTAAACTCAGAATAAACTTTTTTGACGTATTACCACATTAAAGCATCAAAAATAAAACTTTCGGTTCCACTTCGGTTTTTCAGTTGTTCAATTTCTTTCTTGCCACGGAAGCGTACTCGACTTACGATTGGACGATAATTTTTTCGCTGAGTCATGGACAGATTTTTACGCGCTTCTCCGTTACCCGATGCGCAATGGTTACCCAAAAGCAATTGACCTGGCCCAATGATGACACCAGCATCTTAATCTTTTTTTTGTAAGATTAAGATGTTGGGTCCTTTACCAGTGTCACCGGTAATTTTCCTTGAAATTTATATGGAAAGGTTACAGCAGGCTCAAGGCTGTATAAGGTATAGAGAACCGTGCCATGACTGCACAAAACTAAGTGTAAACTGAATCTAAATTTTGTAAAAGTTGCTAATGGGAAAAGGTTTTCCCGAAACTGCCTCTAATTCGCAAGAAAAATCACCTGATCTAGGTTTTGTTGCTAGCGGTCTCTAGCACTAAAATTCCCGCCATTACCTCATTGGGAAATGCGTATGTGTCATTCCTCAAAGCGGTGACGGTCATTGCCGGAATCCTGGTGATCAACAGGAGGAGTAATGGTACGGTATGCCGATTGACCATTGCCGCCCACTGGTGTATGTGATCGATGTGGTCGGCCAGTTTCCTTTGAACATCTGGATGGAGCGGTTTCTGCTGGCTTGCGTAATCCGCCTTGAAGTTATGCTGTCCTCTGGCGTCCTTCCTTGGCATCTTCACAAATGTTACCGCGAACCCGGTGGCAGAACGATAATAATGTGGAATGAGCGATGCGTTGATAGGATATTTACAAAGTTTTGGTTATGAGGCTGGGAGAAAACGTGAGTGCTTAACACAATCTGCGCATGTCTAGAAATAAGCAGTCATATTTGCTGTTTTCAAAAATTTTCAACTGGAATCGTGTGCTGATGCAAAAATGCTGAATCAGCGGCAGGACGTCGGTAAAGCGCTGCAGTCGGACAGCGGTAAAGCGGGATTTCCGGAAACAGTGTGCAGGTTTTTGTTGCAGCGTTACTTTAAATGTTGACTGAAGGGATCGGTGTACAGTGGTTGTTTGAACAATAGGCAGCCGAGAGAAAGAAACACAACCATGCGGAAAGTTGTCAATGCTGCTGTAGTTTTCCTATAAATCGATTTCAATGCCTTAACGAGATGGATGGCACAACCAAAACTATGATCATGAAAACAATGCGCTGGCTTCGCGCTCCGCGCGAAATTGGTATTACATATTAAGCGTCACACTTGGATACAGTGGTCGCGCACTAAATATTCCCTAAAAATTCCTCTCACCAATAATAATTCGCGATGGTCCTACTTTAAATTTAAAACATTTAAATTTAGAACATGGGTCAGGTTTTCTTTACTTTCGGCATAAATCCAATTTAAAACAACCTTCTTTAACAGCAATAACCGGTTCATTTTACGAGTATCGGTATTGACCTACACATTTATGTACGTGTATTACACGATGTTCAAGATATGATGTACTCGATCTTTTAGTGCCGTCAGTAAAGTGGAACTCGGCACAAATTAAAACTCCAGCAAAATAGTATTTCATGCGTCTTTCAGGAAAATAGCTCGTCGGCTTCGCGCGAAAATATTCTTTATCCATAACTGCTTAATAAGAAATTGAACTAACCCCACCCAGTGCCCCCGAGGATCCAGGGGCAGCCCCCTGGGGGTGTAGGGGGAGTGTATATTATTAAATTTCTACTATTTTAATCTCTGATTAGCGATCATATCATTAAATGCAATCCATCCAGATTGATTCATCAAAAACTTCGATTATTCAACAACTTTGCAATTATTCTTGTAACCTTGTATATCTAGTAGTCATTCCGGGTATAGGTGGTGCTACAAAATCAGGACTCGAATGATTGGCGATCGGGAAGCATACTTGTAAAGTTTAAAAATTATTAAAATCCGTGCAAGTACAGGACTGTACTCTAATACTGTAATACTGTGCGCCTATTGCAAACTGATCCGCGGATTCCGAGCCCGCTCTGTCTGTTAAGAATATCATTGGGGCATTTCCGTGAATTTACGTATATGAAAATAATAATTATGACCAGCAGAGCTGAAAGCAAAACTGTGGAAGTAACAATTAATGGTAAAATCAACAGTGGTACAACAGTTAAAGTGGCTCTTAGTGCCGTGTACAACTGTGGATTAAATGCATTCATTACTCTGGGGTTTTTGCTGAGAAAATTTTTGTAAAGCTTCCACCCGGAATGGTCGGGCACGTGGCGCATGGTGTGTGGCATCAGGCAGCTGATTTTACAGCAAAATCCCATGATGTTTTGGGGGGAAACGGCTTCGGACGTAGCGAACAATCTGGTACTTTTGGGCAAAGAGGTTGCCCAAAGCTTTCCCGGAATAAATACAAAAAGCCAGGATACAACGAAGGTCTTGTATCTGCAAACGTTATGCTGTATCGTCTAAGAATGCACAAGAGATTTTAATTGTTAACTGTGTCAAATAATTTTAGATCCGACGTTTTGTAGACACATCCCTAAAGTCAACGGAATGTAAGAGAATATGCACTTCTTTCCGGCTGTCGCGCCAACAAATGGTGAGCGGGCGGTACATGTGTAAGTTTCTCGCGGTCTGCTTTTGCGTAATTTGACTGCTAATGGCATCAGATAAATTATTCATTCTGAAGACGACGGAACGATTGGTGCATCAGATACCACCAACAGACCAGATTCCTGTGAAGATGGATCAATTCGCAATCCGTTGGATTGGAATGCTTGGTTGATGCAGGATTTATGTGGAAAGTGGAATGAATTAACTTCGGTTTGACTGGCATTCAATTGTGGCATGAGCCGCTGAAACTGCACAGTACATGCATACATATTAACACTGCACAGTTCTTCCACATCCTGCTATCCACAACATCGCCGTTCCCGCAGCGGGACTGTTAAAAACAATGTGGTAAGCACGTTCGGTCTATTGATCAAATAGCAAGCTGATGCCAAAAGGGCCACGCCCACAATGCTGTGCCACTGCAATACCATTATCGATTTCAAAACAGGCGTAGCTCACAATATTAGTAATACTGCATGTACCCTTGTACCGTAATAATGGTTCGTAACATAACAACGGCAATTCGAAACGATGTATACAGTCGAGGAAGAATATCAAACTTAGTTTTATGATCTGATCTTGTTTTCGGAAAACATGGAATATTTAAAACTTAGCTTAATTATTCATAAAAGAGGACAAGCAGAAAAGTAAGGATATTAATTTTTATGTACACAGATATGTGATTTCCGAGCTAGTATGCCGTTATTTAGTTGGCCGGCTATTGACCTATATCAATCTGTTCGTATTTTAAAATGACTTGGTCACCGAAGTCGGGAAGATGACACGTTAGAAAACAGGCGAGATACGGGTGACGGAGTATAAGCGCCAGCGGATTAGCACCGAGGTCAAGCGCGGGAACGCGGCCTCTTTCATGAGAACAGCAAGACAAAACTGTTCTGCGTGATTAGTCCGCATATTTCCGTTGTCTGATGGGGCTGGGTATTCAGTAAAAATCTACTTTTATAGAAAACTTGTGGATGTTTTCTGCCGCCAAAAAGATACCACATTTTATCATGATCGCTTTTCCGTGTTCTGATGTAAAAATTATGAACAGTAATACTTACAACTGCACTACTTACGCGAAACTATGCACTACTTACTCGTAATACTTACCATACAAGAGTATCTGATCAAAGTGTTCATGTACACGTTAATGCGGGCACGTGCTGTTTTGCTGATAACGGCGTTATTTCAACACCAGCTTGCCGGCGCTTTGATCGCGGCACCAGTATACCTCTCTATCGAGGCTAACGATATACAAATACCTTGCACGGTGTACAATACACGTTATTCTAAAATGCAGAATGCACAGCGTACCTGAATTACAAACCGTGTAATCAGCGATTCACAGCGATGCTAACAGCTCCGTCGTGCACTGAATTCGACAGAAAATGAGAAAAAAATGCCATTTCCGAATTATTCCCCCCTCGGGCCATTCGCGGTGGAAATTAACGTGCAAAATGGAGTGGTGTACCATGGCAAATTAATTGATATTTGCGACGACAATGCCCTCGTTGAAACGGATGTCAACTGGACAGGCACCAATCAGCTATTTTCTTGTACCACGGTTTTCCAGTGTGACGATCGCGACCAGCTGCACACTGAGTACCGCCCGAGAGAATCCTATTTTGATCCACCAGCTCGCATCTTCGTATTACTACAGCTGGAAGAAAATGCAGCATGGATTTGGTATCCGGACGAACTCTTGGCCGTCTATCTTTGCGCTTTTGGCGTGGTGCGTGTGGAGATGCAGAGAGTGCAGCAGACCCTTGTCGTGCCACGCCATCATATTCGCTGCACGAATTATCCGCGCATCCCCTTCCAGGGCGGCGACAATTTCGTCAAACTCTCCTATACCATACCGGAAGCTTGGGGACAGTCGTTTTCACGGGAGATCTTACAAAAATTTAACGAAGTGGGCGGGTATCACGACCACGGGATTGCTGCTAAGGAGATTGTGGATGGAGAGTTGGTATGCATTGCCACAGCGTCATGGATGGCACAAATCAAGAAAGATCTTTTGAAAACGGTAAGTAACAAGCTCAGTCAAGCGTGTAACCAAATGCGCGCGTATGTACTAAGTCAGTTTTAAAATAACAGGAGCACCATGGTAATTGGTATGTAAAATACACCGCAGGGAGTAGCTTTGCATGTAAAATTGAATTTTTGTTAATCTGGTCGGCGTCTTATAACAAACTGCTCACAATTTAGAGTTATTGTAAAAATCGGATTGCCGAAAAAAGGATTTCTTTTCGCGAACCAGTTTATGCGCATTGTGTATTAAAAGAGCTCTTGCTGGTACTGTATATTATCAAATTTTTGGAGCCGAATTCCGGCTGGCTAAATTTCACTTTTTGCTCCCACAATGTGGTTTCGTGTTACTGTACTTATTCTTAGGACGAATTTGTTAACGATCTCGTGGCGTTCGGAAAGAGGAAACATTCTACCGAAGCCATTGCGAGGCAACCCGACGAGAAAGTCAAGAAAACCGACAATGTACAGCTTAATAACGTCATGAACACACTCCCGAACGAACTTCTAAGCCGTATCTTTGCTTTCCTGGATCTTTATGAGCAGATTCGCATCCGTCGTGTATGCTGCTTGTGGAACAGTTTACTGCCACTGTGCGCGACCTTCCGGCCGAAATCAATCTGGATTCGCATCGATGAACCGCGGCATCCCAAAGATACTGATTATGTACGAAAAGTCGCCATCTGCTTAAATAAATGCTGGAGTTCGCGAATGGAGACGCTAATTCTGTCTTTCACACTGACGGTAGAGTACAAAATGGATTTATTTTACATGGTAGCCGGTGCACTGGAAACGATGTCCACAGTCCTGCAACAACCGCTGTTCAAGCGCGTCGTGCTGTTTGATCTAACACTATACAATGATTCTTTTAGCGGATGTTTCCATAACGTTTTTATCAAATCCGCGAGAGTACTAAGTGCGTCTTGCGACACTGTTGTTTTTGACCGAATCCCGGTGCGGCTGTTCCCGGATGATTATTACGTGGATAACGATGTTTTAGATAAGTGGGTTCTAGAGCTCAAAGGACAACTTGATTTGACACAGAATCACCGGGAATATGAAGGGAAGTTTTATGATCTCCTCGAGTCGCAGATTCCCGATTTTTCCCAGGAGGAAGTGCAGCACGTGCAGCTGATGGTGCAGCGCTATTTTCTTAAAAAAAGGGCCGTCTTGCATTCCGGAATGAACTTTGTGGAAACTGTAAGAGCTTTAGTAAGAACTATAACTGCTCATTTTTGTCTTATGTTACTGCTATTCCAGGTTATATGGGAGTATCAGCACGACGATCCTCGACCTGGAGCCTTTGAAGTCGACATCGCCGACCGGGAATTACCGGAATTCGTACCTCGCTTCAATCGGCTAACGTTATTTGTATTGCAGTCGCTGTCCTTTTTGTTTGATGCCGACTTGTAAAATGAATGTCTCTCACGAAAAATAAAATGCCACAGTAAATCCGCATACCGGCATACGTATGCACAATATTAATATTATTGTGCATGTACCACATAATACGAGTACAATCACAATATTATCACATATATAATAATAATTTTATTATTATGCATTACGCATGACACAAATTTTGGCGTATTCTGAAAAACTATGCATTTTAATTTGCGTAAGTACTCGCGCTGAGTTACTGTAGATATGCCGTTTGAATTGTTAAAAATAAAAACCTAAATTCCAATAGGCTCGTTTTATGATTTTGCTGACGAATGCCCGAGAAAAAAAAATTGCAGAAATGGAACAACAACGAAATGTACTATAGGTATTGGCGGCGAAATTTCTGCGCCTGTGTGCTGTTCAGATTCGTCGAGCTGCAAAAATCCTTTACTGTTATTAGTTATAATTATAAAAGTGTTTGCAAAAATTCCATAAATGCATCAATAAATCCGAAAAAAATTCGAACCAATAATAATTTAATAAATATTTAAAAAATACTGGAGTACTTTTGTTAACTTTCATTAATTTTGTCGTTCCCTCTTTTCAACATACCACACCGATACAAATTTCTGCGCAGATTGTAGATGCATACAGATGCATTCTTCTGTTCCCCTGCAATCTTTTCCATGTACGCATAGCATTTACGCATTTTACGATGTAATTATTGATTTGTTCATATGCCGGCATTCTACCAAAATGTTAGGAAATAATGAACTGCAAAAATAGAACCTAAATTTAAACAAGCTCAGTTCCTAATAAAAGCAAATTGCAAAAATGTAACGACAACGAATTCAACAAATGTATTTTTAACGAATGACAGCGAATGTATTTTCACACCTACCAAACCATGCTGAGAAAACAACGATCTAGAAATACAAAGGATAAGTTACAAGAAATTTACGAAAACGAAAATTATTGCGAAGGAGCAGAAGTCAGTACAAGTACGCGCATCATATTCTCGAATCAATACATTTGAACGACCCGATTTTTTGGTAGGCAGTGGTCGCCAGATAACAGGAAAATGCCATCGCGGTGACACAGATTCATAAGCATAATTTTTTATTCCCGTATACAGTGAAACTTCTCTACAACATACACCCTCCGTTCCAGGCTTTCTGAATGTTACAGAGGGGTGTATGTTATACAGAAGCACTGCCCCCAGGGGCACTGCCCTCAGGGGCTCAGGGCACAGCCCCCGGAGGGTGTTACTTAACCAAAACATTAACAAAATATCGGAGTATGGACATTATTCGGTGCGAATGTTGGTTTTGCTGCCCTTTTGTATGTCTGGAGTTGGAAGATCCGGTACTAAACAGATTAAAAACAGAAGCCGGAACTTTCTTTTAGAGACATCGAAATGGTTTTTTTTACCAGACTAGCCAACCGTATGTTACGCAGGGGTTGAATAAGCCGGTAAAACTGTTACCGGTTCCATAAAAGGTGTATGTTATAGCTGTAAAGGGGTGAATGTTATACAGAGAACTGCCCCTGTGTTGTAGTCTACCGGACAGTTTGGTTCTCAGCCTCATGCATGCAGTATAGGGGTGAATGTTATAGGAAGGTGAATGTTAAGAGGAGTTTCACTGTAGTTGGATATTATTTCCAGCAATTCGGCATTTAGTCCTCTGCATTTCCGTGGAACGCCGCCAGTTCCGTGGCGGTACCATCGCGTTCCTTGATCAATTTCACCTCCAGCACAACCTGCGTCTCTTTAAAGGCAAAATGGGGATCGAAGGAACGCTCGTAGTACCAGCCCAACCGCCCCGCGCAGCGGCTGCACGTGACATCTTTGGCCATGTACTGGCCCGTGAGGAATTGCCGTTCGGTGGCCTCCGAAAAGTTGACGTTGATGGCGCGACGGAATAAGATGGCCGCCCCGGTGCTGCCGATAAACTGGCGGCTCCGCAACAGATTGTGCTGCGTCAGAACCGTGTCGCAGCTGGCACATGCGAAGACTTTGTTGGGGTTATGCTCGGTGGTGTACTGAGGCTCCGCGAGATGTACAACACCCATGGCTAAATTTCAGGATTACAGTTTCGTATTAAAATATAACCATAGAAGTCTGGTGATGATCCTACTGCACTTCCAACAGCACGTGATGTTCATTAATTGAGGGAAGATGTAAATATTATTTTGCTAACATGGAAATTATCGCAGTATGTGATGTGTTCTGAGAAGAATGGATAAAGGAACAACGACTGAAAATCAGCACTGCCAGTAATATTGATACTGGCAAGAAAATCGATACGGTGCACACATCGATACACAGCAGCGTCAGGCATGGCCGCATGGGCAGCGTCCGCCGCGTGTTATAAGCGTTTTCTTTCAGTCTCATTCAGTTGATCGTGCCGCTTTCCAAAGCAGTGAAAGTACAATACCCGATAGTCGGTTGCTTTGTACAGTAAATCTGGCCACGGCCACTGCGAGCGTTACCGTGTCATCAATAGATTCGAGCTCATGGGTATCTTTAATATAATATCGACCTGTTCGTGTTAACGCGAGAGGTATCCGTCATCCTTTGAAGTAGCAAATTGCTGCACTACGCCCTTTATTTCTATTTTCTGTATATTTTTCAAAATTCTGTATATTGTTATTTCTGTACAATTATATATTTATTCTGTATATTGTTATTTCTGTATTTCTGTTTCTGTTATTTCTGTATAAATCTGGCCACGGCCACTGCGAGCGTTACCGTGTCATCAATAGATTCGAGCTCATGGGTATCTTTAATATAATATCGACCTGTTCGTGTTAACGCGAGAGGTATCCGTCATCCTTTGAAGTAGCAAATTGCTGCACTACGCCCTTTATTTCTATTTTCTGTATATTTTCAAAATTCTGTATATTGTTATTTCTGTACAATTATATATTTATTCTGTATATTGTTATTTCTGTATTTCTGTTTCTATTTCTGTATAAATCTGGCCACGGCCACTGCGAGCGTTACCGTGTCATCAATAGATTCGAGCTCATGGGTATCTTTAATATAATATCGACCTGTTCGTGTTAACGCGAGAGGTATCCGTCATCCTTTGAAGTAGCAAATTGCTGCACTACGCCCTTTATTTCTATTTTCTGTATATTTTCAAAATTCTGTATATTGTTATTTCTGTACAATTATATATTTATTCTGTATATTGTTATTTCTGTATTTCTGTTTCTGTTATTTCTGTATAAATCTGGCCACGGCCACTGCGAGCGTTACCGTGTCATCAATAGATTCGAGCTCATGGGTATCTTTAATATAATATCGACCTGTTCGTGTTAACGCGAGAGGTATCCGTCATCCTTTGAAGTAGCAAATTGCTGCACTACGCCCTTTATTTCTATTTTCTGTATATTTTTCAAAATTCTGTATATTGTTATTTCTGTACAATTATATATTTATTCTGTATATTGTTATTTCTGTATAATCAAATAATTCTTCTGTATATTGTTATTTCTGTATGTTGTTTTTGTCTGTATTATTTCTGTACAATTCTGTATATTGTTATTTCTGTATAATTATTGTATATTGTTCAAATATTGTACGCATATTTGGGGATGAATGTATGCGGTATGCATAACTAAAATAAATTCTTTCAACTAATCACAATAACTAATAGTCACTTTGAGTCATACCACATCGCAATTGCAAGATACCGGGTTTAAAATTTTATTTTTTATAATTGTGCAGCGGGTAAGAAATTTTGAAATCTTTGCCGCTATGGATAGTCAAAACAGGTAACTGGTAAATGGGTCATCCTGCACTCATCCACCGGGCACATCTAGAGATAACAGCAATAGCCATCACGAAAAAAACGTACTCGCAAATTCCGGTGCTTCGAAACTGCATAGTTCTGTTTCGTTTTCGCTTTGCGTGTTCATGCAAAATTGGAAGATCGGTCCATCTAAAACTTTTCGCAGTTTCATAGAGCAGTATCATCCCAACCGCCCGCGCGTTTGCCGATTCTGTGGAGGATGTCGATCTGGACGCTATCCTTGGCGAGTTGTGTGCACTGGGAGATGCACATTCAAACGATCTTCAGTTTTCACCAATGTAAACAAATCATTTGGCCACTCAATGCCATAAAACAAAAGTCAGAAGTGCTTAGAAGGGCGCAAAAGCGAAAGTTTTACTGCATGTACACGAATTTGGTGCCATTCACTATGCCATTTCTTTTGAATTAAATAAATTATATTTTCTGAAACCCAATGTGTTTCGCATAGGTTTATTTTGCCTATTTTGATTTAATGTAGAGAGTATGGCTAGAGAAAATATGGGGATGCGGACGAACAATTCGGTAAGACGAGCAATTAACATCAGCGCATCAGACTTGCTTGAGGCGATCACGCCATAGTACTCAGTCGATTAGGCGCCGTTCAAATATTACTTAACAGCCATGGGTGGGGGGGTGGTTTGACCTAAGCGTTACGCTTTTGTTACATGGGTAGGGGGTGGGTGGCCGGCATGTTACGTTACATTTTGACACCGCTGAAGATGGAGCCGAAACATGTCATTCCATTATTTCAGGAGCGTACAAAAGACGCAAATTGAAGAAAAGTTTTCGTCCCTGGCGTGTTCTAAATATTTCAGCAATATTTACTTATAACGTATAAGTGCCATGCCCACTGAACTGTATTATAAGTGAAAACTCGGTCGTTTACGTATGTTGATTGTATAGAAATCGAGCCTGGTAATGAAGGCATCTTGTAAAGAATCTGCTGATGCATATCCTGCGGCGTACTCAACGTTACCTGGGACTCCCAGGCTGGGAGCAAGCAGATTCTGCTCATAAAATTTGTAGGGAATTTTTTTTGCCATTTAAGAGGGGGGGTTCCCGATGCCGTTACGTACGGCTGCAGGGGGTGTAAAAACTTGTTACGCGTTGTTACAAGGGGTAGGGGGTGGTGAAAAAAACCGAAAATTTGCGTTACGTAATATTTGAACGGCGCTTTACCGGATTACGTTATGCTCCACTGAACACTGATGGTGAGAACAGCGATGCAAACAGCATGACACATGTAAACACGATTAATTTTATGGTCTTTATTCGACCCTAGTAATGTACTGCAACTGTAAGTATAGGGCTTTTGACGCTCGTCTTTCAAGGCGCACCTGCTAAAATTAATTGTATTATGAGAAGAGAAAACAGCTTATTCAGAAGCATAAACCTGCTTTGAAGTTGTCAAAAAGTTAACCCGTCGCACTGCTTGGTAATCGTAATCATTTAAGGCACACTTAAGTTTGCATGCTGTCGTGTTATGTCGGAAAATTCACCCAGCATTTAATTTTACGGCTCACATTATTTCAGTACTATTGCCGGTCTACGGGAGCGGCAGGCGTGTAATTCTCCGTACTATGCGATGAGCACTGCCTTCAAAATGAGCCCCTTAACCACCGGCTCTGTAGGTAGGGAGTCTTTTGGAATTTAGTGAGGAGAAGTATTCTAACGATTTTCTACATTTTTTATGTTTTGTATTGTACCTAATACATCCGGACTGTTCCCGGGTCGTGTATGTTCACAAATGGAAATTCACTATACACGTAAAATCAGTGCCTTAGTTGCACATAACATCGGCAATATCAGTGTATACTGCGTAATACTGAAAATCCCCACCACCAAACCATATAAAAAACATTTGAAATTTTACAGTGCAGAAAAGGGAGGAGAGTGGCCGACTTCAGGTACTACGTTCATTCAGTTCATGTTTTAATTGTAAAGCAAATTTCAATAGCTTCATCCTTCAGTCCTACCCGCTGTGCATGTTTCTCTGACTTCTTTTTGTCTATGTATCTGTACAGGCGAAGATCGCGCAATACGAACGCCAAATGGAAGAAAACAAGCACTTCACCGTTGTAATGGGAGAGCCCTGCACGATACAAGTAGAGCTGGACCCGGGACAGTATGTATTACACTGCCTGATCTGCAACACGAAATGCCATTTTCCTTGTGAACATGGCGACACTTCGGATGCGAAAAGGAACTGTCCCGTAATGTATAACGGTTACTGTTGCGTTTGCCCCGAGACCTGCCACTGGGCGAAACATTACAGCAGCCGCTACTGCATGGAAACTGGAACGAAAAAAGTTACCAGAACCCGGGAAGATATGAAGAAAGCGTACTTCGGTGCGCTTCAGGAAAAGCTGACCGCAGAGGAGAGCCTGAACAGGTTGCAGAAAGAAGTAGAAAATACGCATTAAAAACTCTTAAGAACTGTTGCTCATCATTCACCAACTCTGTCGATAATATACAAATAAGCCTTATGCACCGGCTTGTGGTGTATCCGCCAGTGCCATAAAATATTTGCGAAAAATGTTAAGTTAAACAGCTGCAGCAGGGTTCTCCAAATGATGTCATCAGCACCCGATTGATGAATATTAAGTACCTACTGTACTTTAATTAGCAAAAAAATAAACTCGAAAACGGGACCAAACGGGTTTATGGAGTTATCAATGTTGAGTACTGCATGAATGACAGGAAAGAAAATATCAGTTGCATGCAATTCTTGATTGCTTTATGCAGAGACTGTACCGGTACGGAAAAATTTCGATGGATTATTTGAAGTATAACCAGTTTGATAATGTAATTTAACAAATCTGAAGAATCGATGCAATGGTTACAAAGCTTGTATGAAACTGGAGTAAAGGTACAATATGTTAAACGTTACACAGGAGTACTCATATAGTACATGCACGCTTGATATAATAATTAGCCAGTGGTTACAGAGGTTTTCGGTGCGGATCTTGCGGTGCTTGTGGGGGAAGTCACTATGCACTGTTTCTGCTGAACCGGAGGTTGTACAATGGTCACCCTTGCCGTTCGTCAGAATATAAAGCTGTGTTCATGTTTTCTGCGTTGTTAATCAGTGAAATGAGAGGAAGACTTTCACACTGGCCATTGTTTTACAAATTTCTTGTATAAACGAAACCAAAATCCTGGTCGACAAACTCTATTGAGGAAAGGTCGGCACAACACGTTTAACTGCTGTACAAATAGGGTTGATTTCTATCAGCATCAAGCCAATAATCTAGCTTGGTAAACAGTACTGCGCTGGTATTAATTCAAAGAAAAATAAAATATATCCTAACAGGTCCTGCAATAATCCTAACAGTAGATCCTTGTCGGTAACTTCTCGGTTAGTGGAAATTGTGTGGTACATAATCATACAGACCTGTACATTCCATATTCGATAATGTGGGAGTACAACCTGTGGAATGAAATTCAATTCCCGGAAGAGTCGTACGCAACGATCGGCTGCTTTGATGCATCTCTAACCGCCGTAAAACAGATGGATTTAAAATGAACTAAAAGTTTTATTCATGTTTCTTATCGTTGCTACCTCTGAACTACTCTGTATTGTTAGTACTTTTGCGTGAGGCTTTCGCTAGGCGAACGCCTTTCTGAAGAAAGTAGTCTTCGACCTCGCGCAGTTTACACCTAATTGTCGCAGACATTTAGCACATCCAACCAAACAACAATAAGAAATACTGGCTTGTCGATTAAGCAAAACGGTGTCGAATCGACACGTCTGCTTATAAACCGACAAGGTACCTTAATACCAGTTTGACACTATGTAGTACGTACACAGTATCGTACATTAAAATTCGTACATAAAAATTCTGTTGAGACTTCCATTCTAGCACAGCGGCCTTTTTCGATAGGAACCATTTTCTGCATTCGGTGGGAGTTTCCGAATTGTGCATACGGTGTTTCCTTCTGGTTTTACTCTTTTTATGGCTGATTGCTTGATTGCACCAACTGCGCATTTAGGCGAAAATATTACAAAATATTTAATATAAAATTCCTGGTATACCGTACAAACAAATACAGCTTCATGATTTTCCCAACACTTCGCGCACAACAATCACGAACGATACGCATACGGTGAACGTCTGCAAAATATGTAGACATATTGTTTCTGGTTCCTGTTTAAACAAAAAACCAATCGATCACCTACCGCAACAAACAACTGCCGCGTGGCGTGCACCAGATGCAATCCCTCTACTCCTATCGATTGCTCGCGGCTTTTATGGAGGAACAGATGGAAGATCCGACGAAGCTGGCTGCCCTGCATGTAGAACACATGCCGAACACTATCAGTACGGGTTAAGCAAATAACCTTCTGTGCTTCTGAATGTGCGGACTGATCCCACCTCATCGCGCTGCAGAAAGGCCGCTGCGGCGTCAGCATATTGGCATAATGTCCCATGTATCTCCTGGGCCTGCAATTGTCCAACACATTTGCGTCAATGCGCCGTAACGTAAACGACCACGGTGGCGGTGGTACAGTTAAGGCAGGTGAAATACAATTTCTTACAATGGAGTGACGGGAAACGCTCAATACATGAACAACGAAAAAGATTCCCTGCTGGACTTGCTGGACGAAGATCAGACGGTTCTGAGTTAAAACCGTTGTCGGTGCTAGTACTCTGCCTTTTAACTGAATAAAAATTGCGCCTTAGCAATGCGTTTTTCAGTAACTAGTTTCTCAATTTCCCATTTTCAGTAGGATATCAAATGCAAGCTGCAAAGTATAGACTACGCAGTACGCAGTGTTCAAGCTGATTATTAATTTTATTTTTCAACGCTTTAAAGTTAGTGCCTTTGTCCCGTAAATCTCGCCACAGTCACGAAAAGAACTGTTTTTTCTATAAGACAACAAAAACTATATCCAAGTTATCTCGTATGCTCTTACCGCCTCGTGCATCCGAAATAGAGGCATAAGAAATAGTCCAGCTAGCATCACGGCGTTTAGCACTTGTATTAAACTGCACACCATCATCCATACATTGCCCATCGTCTGCTCCGGGTTCATAGCCCAGTTGGCAATGTATCCCACCAAACCGAAGGTGTCGCAAAAGTACGCCACGGCGAACATCAATCCAAACGTCTCATTCATCTCGGCGCACACCCGCACCACATCCGCATGCTGCTTTAAAAGACAGCGCAGCGCATCCGCTCGCTCGGTACCTTCGACCAGATCAGCTTTGACCTGGACGATCCACGCTTCCTGACCTTTACTTGTCTCCACCAAAAACCGGTCCCGCTGTTTTACAATCTGCTGGCGAACCTCTTCGACACAAGAGCGAAGGACCAACGTGAAACCGATTAATAAGATGGACACTTGGACCGATAGCCAATCCGGGAAGATGATAAACGCTTCGTAGAACGTGATGGACATCCATCCCGACGGGATAATCGTGATCGGGTCGAAGACGTTCAAATCCGGTATGGTGGCGTTGTACATCGCCAGCGTCCCGGGAAACGATGCACCCTCGGTCAAGACAAAACTCGCCGTAGTCAACAGCACCAACGCGCTGACCTGAAAACGGCAGCAGCGGGTACAGTGGCGCAACGTGGTCGGGTCAGCAAACACATCCCTGACGAGATGGTCAGTGTGGCGAATTAGTTTCACTAACTGCTGGCGCTTCCACATAAAAGTCAGAGTTAGTAGGATGATACCGCGGAGGCATATCGCTACCCAGGGCATAATAAACAGTGCGTCCACGAGGATGTTCTTGGTTTTATCCTGGCTGCCGGCGTAGAGTTTCATTCCGGTCACAGTAAAGCAGATGCCGGAGGTGAAGTATGCGCAGGCGAGGAGTACCACAGCGACTGTTGTGGAGAGAATGCGGGTGAAGGCGCTGCAGGTGACGGTTTTTGTGTGGACGATACCGATAGTACGTAAGATTTTCAGTGGACTGGAGTGGATTGTTTCCATTGGCGATGGGGGCTTTTTGAGTGGCATTTCCTTGTCAACATCCATATTTTCAATAAACGTAAAGATATTCTATTTGCAGAATTATCAAGAACTTTAGAAACGAGTCAAAAATAATCCGGTAAAAAGTCTGTGTGATCCAGCTTGGCCGAATGATAGCGTGATTAACTGGCCATGACGATAGCTCTGTTAATCGGTTATGTTGTCCTTGTCGCTGAATGTACTCGTACGTTAGTGGGGTGCAAAATGCCGTCATTCCTTATTGAAAAATTGCTGAGGCAGGCAATGTTCTTGCCAGTTACAAGTTATAATCTACCTGGTGTGTTATTCGATCTCCCTTCGTGTGCGTAGGCGAGAGAACTTCTCGTGTTCCTCGTTCACAAAGATCAGTAACACTATCGTCGGAATGTAAACACTGCCTCCTCGGTAATCGATCGCCATCAGGTACAAGCGCTGTAGAAGAGCAGCTCAGCAGTGCCATAATGAACCGCTTCGCATTCAGATCTACAGACAGAATGTCTGGCAAACTGTCATCGGTTCAGGGAAAAAATTAATGCTATGCGTGGGTACTTATTCAACATGGAAAGTATCGGTTGATAGATGGGAGTGGTTGTCCGGTTATTTAGGAAAAGACAGCTGATGAGCCACTTCCGCGGTTATGCTACGTTACTGTAGCAAACATCCGCAAGTGCGGATTATTTGTACGATGTATCTGAACAACTGGAATTTCTGTTGCACTGTTTTTGTAACATAAGTGGAGCGGAGTTTTCATTTTAAAATACTTGTTAGTTGTTATCTGTACTTTGTGGCACCTATTAACCTCCTATTTACGATATTAGCCTGGTGGATTCGCCAACGTTTAAGTTGCAGGCACAAGACAAATTCAGGTATATAGTTACGATGGAAAACCATAAAGCAGCAAATCTTTGCTGAGCGCTGACGAATGGAGGAACCATAAACAATGAACGGTGAAGAATTCTCATAACTTTCCCAGCAACTCCCGTACAACCAACACGAACGATACGCACAACGCAAACGTCTGCAACGTAAACCGGCGTCAGCATAATCGTTTCGCGATCACATCATCAAATAAATCGATGGTATACCGCAACAAATAGATGTCGAGTGGCGTGGAGGATGTATAAGCCTTCCACACCGATCCATTGCTCTTTGCTTTTGTAGAGAAACAGTTGCAGGATCCGACGGAGTTGACGACCCTGCAGTTATAAATTTATCAAAACCGAACAAATGTCAGTGATGAGATTACAGGGAAGCGATCATACCTCGTCGCGCAAGAGCGCGCTGGCTGCGACGTCAACATACTGGCATAGTGATCCATGAATTTCTAGCGCCTAAAACATTGTCGCCACGCACGTGATAGCGCACTGAGAGATTAATGCAGCTGTTTTGTAATAAAGAGTACATATTCATACAAAAATAAATACAATAAAAATTTATTTTATTGGTACTAATTAATGAAAGCAATTTACGGTTTAAATTTTAAACAGTTAATTTACGAGTAGTACAGAGACGAGCGTATTGTAATACATAGAATAACCTAAGACCTAAGTGCAGCTGAAATTTTATTAAATCTGAAATGCAGTACTTTGTACTTTGTAGTAGTTTACTTACGCTTTCGTGCATTCGGAAAAGAGGTATTAGAAACATCCCGGCAAAAACACCTGCGTTCATCAGCTGCATTCCGCTGGAAATGATCATCCAACGACTGCTTAACATTAATGACGAGTTCATCACCCAGTTGGCCACCAAACCAACCAACGCCATCGTATCACATACGTACGACACGGTAAAAATTAGTCCCAGTGTCGCATTAATCTCGCCGCATACTTTGACAATGTCGGAATGCGCATGCATCAAACTCCGCAGCGAATTCGCCCTTTCCCAAACATTGACCTTACTATCAACGAGCCACGTCTCGTGACCTTTGGGATTACTTTTGATAAAATATTTTTGTTCTTGATCGATCTGTATCCGGATTTCCTCGATGCAGCATCGCAAAATCAGCGTGAAACCAATCAAAACAATGGATAAATGCAACGAGAGAAAATTCGGAAACACGATGCCGGTTTCGTAGCAGAAGATGGATATCCATCCCGGTGGAATTATTGTGATGGGAGCGAAGGCAGTGAAATTATGTACTGTGACATTGCTAATTAGCAGCGCTGCCGGCCATGACGTGCCTTCGGTGGCTGCGAAGCCGACGACAGTGTACAACATTAATAGACCGATTTCCCGTCGAAAACGGGCAGTGTGCCGATATAAAACTCGGTGATCGAGGATCACACGCTGCAACAGACGATCGGTGGCGTGGATAAGGTTGGTCAGTTTCCGTCGCTTAAGGAAAAAAATTATGCTCAGAGGAATCAAGCCCCGGATGGCGACGGCGGCATAAGGCATGTCGAAAATAGCCTCTAGGAGAAAATTCCGGTGCTTATCGAAACTGGCAGCGTATAATTTGAGGGCCGTCATGGCGAAACAGATGCTCGATACAAAATGGCCACCGCCCAGAATCAGCACCGCGAAAGCGGTAGTTACAATCCGAATCCCGGTGTTAGGTGGGTCCTTTTCCGGAGGTGCAAAACCGAAAGAGCGCAACATAGTTAATGGCATGAACAATACGAGCTCTACTGGCGATATACGGTCACGAGGTTCCTCGTGCACTTTTCGACTGTGAGAGGTTGTTTCCATATTTCTGAAGACGACCATCGTTCAAGAGAAAACTTAACGTGTAGGAGGAAAAATGGAGGAACAGCTAAAATATTTTCTGTGAAGGAAAAAATTGTCCCAGTTACCGAGACAAAGACAGTATGGAAACCGGACATTGGCAATTACCACGCACAGTCTTCCTGGCTGGATGTTACCGGATCTATGCCGGAAATAGTCGCCCACCGCATTTGCACTTTAGGTGATTTGCTGATTATCGCAGTTTCCTGGAAAGGCTTTCCGATGAACCGAAAGTGGCAATTTATGCCGTGTAAGCCGGTTTTCTTATTATCGCTGCACTACATTAGGAGGACTCGACAACCAGCGGACAAAAGATTCCAATGGGATCGTTAAAGGTACATCAATAGGTACTACACCTTTAAAGCTCTTCGGCGCTCAGGACACTGTGTTCGTAACGATATTCGCTATCGTTGCCCTGAAAATGCAAAGCACACATTTCGTAACTTACTCGGGACAATATGTACCTACAATAGAAAGTTAGACCGATAGCTGCAATGTCTCGTTATAAATATCCGATAAAAAATTGAAACACAAAAATGATTGGCGAGAAGGTCAGTTGTTGATTATCCCTTTTTGTTTCAGTTCGTTTTGTTTTTTGTCCCATTGCGATGCTTGTATTTTAGCGATATTTATTTCATATTTACGTAAGCGGTTCTTGTTGGAACCATTCGTCGTTCAACAGCCTCCGGTTTGCAGCCAACGTAATTCTTTAATGATAGAAATTTAATGCCTTTTAAAAATTATAGTTTTTTTCCAGAATAAAATTATTTATTTACCTTACGAAACGATCGGCATCTGTATTCAGAAGTCACGTGTGCTTCGGTCACGTATAAACACTATTCCGGTGGTTGGTGTCTTTTACGGCTTGGCAGTCAGTCTGTAGCAGCGGCAAGGTCAGACGACGTTACCGCATAACTACCGCTATATGTCGTTAACGCGAAGTATGAGTACGACTTTACGACTGAGCAGTTGAACGATCACAAAACCTACTGTAAACACCGAAAACGTGCTCGGGATTTACAGTGATTACATTGGCTTTATGATTTCAGGATCCGGTATTTTACGGTTCAGGTGTGCGGTGTTTATTAGTGCACTTCATGAGTTTTCCCGTTATTTCTACAGTTTACTGGCGCTTGATAGCAACTTGTTACGCAGGCATCGCATAAATCTGAAATTATCATGCGCATTGCTTTTAAATCTTGGCTGAATAATTAAGTTGGCAATATCTTTTAAATAGATTTTTAACCGGCAATAGTTATTAAAATAAAAGAAATGAAAGCGCGGTGACATTAAAACATAGTTAATGAAAACACATATCTTATAAAAAAATTAAATTAACTGGTTATAGTAATAAATTAATTGATTGTAATTAACAGAAATGGTTTTGCAACGAACATCCCGGCTTCGAGAAGCTGAGGATTAATCACAAAAAGTGCTTTTCTGTAGTTTGTTCAGGAATGCGTCAAGTACAATTGAATAAGCTGTCGTAATAACACATCCATACATACAGTTCCAGTTCACCGGTGGCCGGTACAATGAAAGTGGATTAATGTGGCAATAATGGAGCGTATGGCGTTACATCAACAAGCGGCGATGGTTTATTATATTAGCATCCGGCATTTTATCGTTCCTCATACTGCACCACAAACTCAGCATAGAATACGTGAAATCACTGAATTGTAATGCAGTTAACCTTTTTTATGCGTCTGAACGGATCAGTCGACCTTGTACAGATACATTTGAATTGCTGAACAGGAAAAGCAGCAACCAGCAGTCAGGTGTCACTGATATGCTGTGATCTCGACCACTTGGCGTTTTCTGGGGCTTGTTGTCAGGATAGTCGCCACAGTTGCCGCTTTCTTTTTTCTTTTTTGGGTTACAGCTTTGTGACAACGCTGCTTCTCAATTACAGTAAGTGAATATTACAACGATTAACTGTTAGGTAAATAAATATTTAATTAAAAATCAAATCCATCGGGTAAAGAGACATTTTAATTTAGCACAACAATTACTTTTAATTCTTTGCATGCTTCGTATCAATAATTATTTTCAGCTAGAACAGAGATAAGCGTGTTTTTACCGAATAAATAATTTTCGAAATTAAACGCATTTATTGCCGTTTTATCTGTTTCTTTGTACGGTAATTTGTTGAATTCGTAAATTGAACACTGCTAATTATTTAAAATAATTATTCCGTTTATTTTTTTGCTACCGCATTATTTAGTAACTGTTGACATAACTACTGCAACACACAATTTGTAGATGTGGGGATCCTTTTCCACCATCGTAATCCTGTTGCTCGGTCATCGCCAGGTGAACGCCGGTGGCGACCGCCGCGGGTACCAGCGCTCGGATGGACTAGCGATTGGCGACTGGTGTGTGCCGCCGGCGCAGGCTACCGGGCCGCTGCAGGGCATGGACTGTACGCAGATCAGCGGTGCCGAGTGTGTAGCTTCGGCCGGCGCCCAGCCCACCGGTAACGTCTGCCAATGCAAAGCCGAGTATGATCCGTACGATGCCGGCAATGGGGTGCAGCGCTGTCGTGCCAGGCAGAGCTCCACGGTCATCGCCACTATGACGGCGGCGGACTGCCAGCTGGACGACGACTGCCACCAGTACTTTGCCACCGCGGTGTGCGGCCCGCCACTCTCCGGACAGCCATTCGGCAAGTGTGCTTGTCCCAAGGATTTCATCTTAGATCCCAATCCCACAACCGGCAAAACTTGCAAAGGTAAACCAACAGAATCTGTTTTTTCCAAGGCTTTCTTACCAAGATTCTCTGTAAGAACAAGAACAGGCATCCAATAAAGCAAAATTCAACAAGCACTATTGCTGTGAAAAGATTGGTGACAGTAGTATTAGCCTTGGGCGAAAAACTCTTTTTAGAATACTTAGTCAAAAATACATCTTCTGGAATCGTTTGATAGCTCTGAAGATTTTCAGTTGGCAGCCAAAGGCCACTTGCCAGAAACGAAACTAGTTTTACATAACAACGCAAGAAACGCTTAAATATTTCTGGGAACCGGAACGGTATATCCGCTTAACGCGGTTAAAATTAACTAAAAACCTTCGATCACCGCATGCGAGGGACTTTATTAGTGAATAATAGATACAACTTCAGGACATTTTTCGGCTTCTCTTTGAGCAAAAGAACCTTTGACCAGCTGATACGAATTGTAATGGGGAAGCTGGCGTCCACTTTATCACAGAATATAACCGGTGTTTGCAGTCTGCACCGAGAAAACCGATTTTTGGGTCGCATATCTCACTCAGACTATCACGTGCGAACGCTTTGTAAAAACGCAGAATTGTTAAGTTGCGCTTGTAAGAATATTAAGTGGCAAGAAGGGATGTAGTCCTTAATTACTGTAATATGCAAATACTGTACTGAATGTGTCGTGTTTTCACAGCCTACGACTGCAAAACCGATCCTACTGTGTGTACCACCGCTTTCGGCTCTCAGGCCGATTGTGATAAAGGAAAATCTGTGTGTATTTGCAAGACTGGAACCTATTTCCTTGCCGATAACACCGGGAAAGTTACATGTCAAGGTGAGGCAATCATTCGTTTGCACTGCAATCCCCGTTTCTTTGTACCGCACCTCTCGATTGGAACGGTTTATTTGAAAATTTCCTTCCCAGATTGGAAGCTTCTGCCCGCCTGCTCGACAGCGACCCCCTACTGCCCAGCACCATTAACGTGCACCATTGCCAAAAGCAAATGCGAATGCGGCAGCAACAGGATTGCTACGCCGCAAACCGGCAATCCAAGCACTTTGGAATGCAAACGTAAGGGTTTCGGATGCACCATAATATGTTTGAGACACCGCCGCTTTCGATGCTGATGATGAACAGTTACTGATGTTGTACAAATGATGTATTTACGATTTTAAGGATACGAACGGTAATTTTAGCCCTGTTGATAAATTTTTTATCTAATTTATGTATTTCTTATGTTTTCATATTCAAAATATTATTGTTACAAAGGACTTTTTTTGCTCCCGAGACCCGTATTCATCTGTCTGCGTTTTCGTGCTGGTGTTGTTGTCAGAATTTTCTTGTAGCGTAACTTATGGCAGTGGTCCAATGTTCGTACTGAAAGAGTTGTCGCATTTTTTCAGAGGTGAGCGCCAGCACCGCCCAAGTGGGCGACACTTGTGACCTGACCGCCAACAATATGGACTGCCCAACGGATGCCGCCTGCCTGGCCGTTGGTGCCAGTAATATTTGCGTGTGCAAGCCGTATTACAAGACGGTGACGGGGGCAGACGGCCGCAGGGTGTGCAAAAGTACGGGCAGTATTCTTATGGCCGTCCCAGGACGGAAATTACTTGTCCTTGTCAAGGATATAATTATTCGTTTACGTTCAAGTAATCCATTACATAATATTAATGGCAATTTTATATTTTTGATTTTTCATACTGCCCACGTAATCGGGACGTTGCACCTTTTTCCCAAATACCAATAAATAACGTAGAATAAATCAAGATAATTTCCGAATTCTTTCAAGTGTTTTAATCAGAAATTGTTTGCAGCGTATCTGGGCAACTGCTGCAAGACCTTACCAGACTGCGGTGGGACCCGGGTCCCCACCGGGGTAACCTCATCGACAGGGGCGGCTATCACGGCCGCGCCACTGACCTGCATGAAACTGAATAATGCCGCGCGCGGTGTCTGCACGTGTCCGACCGGTCAAGCGTGGGACTGGACCACCAATCCACCGGGTGCCTGCACCGTGACGGCCGCTACGTGCTAGATCGGCATGCCGCAAGTTATTGATGTACGTTGATAGCAGTTGTCGTTCGTTTTCCGAAATTGGAATGTTCGAAGGCGGTATAAGCGGAATGTCAGCTTTTTGCAGCAGATTTGCTTCTACCGATAAAATCATTTATGCTTATACCGTTGTACGCCACCGACCCGTATGCTCTTCTTACGCGAATGCTTGCGCGATTAAGGGCGTTTCTGGAATTTTGCCTTGTTTCCTTACCTTGCAGATCGCGCTTAAATACCGATTGAATAAAACAAAAAAGAAACGTTTCCACTTTAATTCGTAATCATAAAGCATTAAGTGGAGAAAGCGCGCGATGGTTTAACAAATGATGGAGCTTAGCCCGAGCAGAGAAGGGCCATCAAATAGTTAAAAGTACCATGGTTAACGGGATTTCTGGAGAACTTCATGAGCAACGACGACGAACGACACACAGATAGTGAATGTCTGTAACGAGATCATCGTAAATCGATAAACCAGTAGCGATAATAGAAGACCGTTATTTACTTACTGCTACAAATAAATGCCGTGTGGCATACACTGTGTGCCAGCCTTGTATGATAATATGCTGATTCCGGCTCTTATGCATGAACAGGTGCAGCGTCCTCCGCAGCTGGTTACCCTGCAAAAGTAAAACAAATGCAGAGTCAAAATTATGACAGCATGATGGCTAATCGACACATCAACGAGCAAACTGCTAATCGAATAGTGTGCACTGCGGTGTTAACCCACTTGGTCGCTTTGTAGAACGGGTACCGCTGCATCGGCATAATTGCATAAACCCTCGTAAATCTCCAATGCCTGCAAAGTGATCAGCTGCATGAGAAAATCAAGCAGTCCGATTACAGAAAATTCGATATAAAATTTGTTCATCGTGTCTGCAAAAATAAATCGTAGAAGGAAAAATACAGAATAAATTTTTACATTGTGAAAATGGGCGTCACTTACGTGATCGTGCATCCGAAACAGAGGGATTAAAAACATCCCACCGCACACCACCACATTAATCGTGATCAGCACTTCATACACAGCGCTCCACAGATTATCCAACATCAGCGCCGTATTGAGCAACCAATTGGTCACATACGATACCAAAGCCAGGAAATCCAGGCAATACGCTACGGCGAAAAACAGCCCGAACACCGCATTTACATTCTTGCACGCGTCCATCACCTCCGCATGCTGGTGCAACAGATCTTCCAAGCACTCCGTACTTTTCCAAAGGTCATCGAGTTTCTTGCTCACAGTTATTTCTGTTTGCAAGCGGAGGTTGTCGTTGATTCGATCAGTGCAAGCGGTTAAAACCAGTGCAGAAAAGATTAACAAAATGGAGACTTGTATGGATAACATGAATGTGACTTCTAGAAAGGTTTCGTAGAAGCCCATGCTTAGCCACACCGGGAAGATGGGCGGTAGTGGATCATACATATTTCCTTCCGTCCATGTTAAATTCATCTGTTTAATCGTACCGGTAATATTGAAATATTCAGTAGCGCTCAAATACGCGATGAAGAAGACGGAGACAAAACTAATTTGCAATCTCCAGCGGCGAATATACCGTTGTGTATTCGGACCGCTTACAATTAGAGATCGCGCAAGAAGAGAATTCAGTTTCTGTAATATGTTAGCAAGGCGGTGTCGCGTGAAGAGAATAACCGTTAGCGTCGCCGCACCCCGGAGGCTCACAGCGACGTACGGCAAGGAAAGCATCATGTCCATTAGGGAAACGCTTTTCTTGTCTGTCTGAGAGGCGGAATTCGGTGGGAACAGGCGACAATAGGCGGAGCCACCAACCAGCGCCACTTGGAACCAAGCGCCACTAATTAGGATCACCGCAATCGCGGTCAACGCTGTTTGTCGGTAAGGGGAAGCGCTTTTAATTGGGATTATGCCAAAGCATCTTAATAAACTCAGCGGAATTACGGCGGCGGTCTCTAGTGCGTCCTCAGGCGACGGGTTTCTTAATTTGTTGTTCCGCTCGGGAAATGAGTCCATTATGGAGAAAATCATTAGTAAAAGAAATGCGACGATAGAATTCTACAATTGCAAAGAACAGTTTTCCCGCTACTCTACATCGTACAATTCGTCAACGAGGAAAATGACCTACAATCGAATACCTCTGTTAAAACGCATTTGCGTAAGTGTTAATCAGCAAGTGTTATCGATTTGTCAATGCAGGTTGACTAATTGCTGACTCTGCTACTGGGAAAGGACGGTGTGGAACAGCATGCAGCCGATCAACAGCAAAATTCCATTATTCAAAGGCCAAGTGAGTTGGGAGCAAACGGGATATGGGATCGAATAACCGTTTCCATGATCAGGCACAATGTCTCCAGTTTCAACCAGGTAAAGCGGATAAGTGCTCTTCAAAGCATCGTGTAATTTAATTATCGACGTATTTCAGCAGAATCACTAACGCTTGCGCTAATATGCATGATACATTTCTAATATTATATCTTGCAAAAAGTATCTTTTAGTATGACTGCTTCTGGTCATATTAAAAGCTGATCCGTAACAGCTGGTCATATTAAAAGTAAAAAATGTGGAAACCCTTATCGATTGCGTTGGAATGTTGCCAGTGATGGCGGCCGAACGCGGACATCGGCTTCTGCGAACGAATAGTGTAACAGAAGCCTATCTGGCCGCTGTTCTAGTGGGTTGGCGTGTTGACCTTACCACGATGTTGTGTGGGCTGTTGGGATGAAAGGTTGGCACGGCCGGCAACGATGCTGGCCGGGACTGCTCTTACTGACGTAACACAATTACTGAACGTAACAACGGAAGTTCACGGCATATACAAGAATAATGCAAGACAAGGAGCAAGGTTTAGGCAAGAGTTTAAGGGATTTGGCCCGGTACATAGCGCTATAATCGTGTACATTGACGGGAATATTCGCTTTCGCGCACTTTCAAACACTTTTTGGGTTGCTTTTTGACATTGTGTAGCCAAATGATTGGTGTACATAGGCGTGAAATCCGTTTTCACGCGCAACATCCGGTTGCGGAGTTATGAGGGTAACAAAATTCCAAAAAGTTTAAATGCATTCAGGTGTTCCAAAAGTCTCAATATGGACCGATCCCTTTCGAACTTTGCACGTAAATGCACATAACCATGAAGAACGTTTTGACACGAATCCACTGTTCTAACATGTTTTTCAAATTTTAAAATGAATTTCAAAAATTTTAAAATTCATTTTAAAATTTGAAAAAAATCGTAGAAGTCTGGATCCGTGTCAAAACGATCTTCATGGTTATGTGCATTTACGCGCAAAATTTGAAAGGGATCGGTCCATAATGAGACTTTTGGTACACCTGAATGCATTTAAACTTTTTGGAATTTGGATACCCTCATAACTTCGCAACCAGATGTTGCGCGCGCAAACGGTTTTCTCACCTAAGTAAACAATTCTTCTGGCTACAAAATACCATAAAGCAATGCAAAAAAGGTTTTGGGAGCGCGCAGCAGCGAAACTTCCCCTGGATGTTCACGATCTTGGTGCTATGTACCGGGCCAAATCCCTTAACAAGTGGAACAAGCTGATCAAGCTGAGAACAAGAATGAATTCTAGAAAATGTAAAGAAGGACAGCTAGCCGGTAAAATGAAGAGAGTTCTTAACGTAATGATGAATCATAACTGAGTGGTCTTATTGGTGTACAACTTCTATCGCTACAATAGTTACGCCGCACGGCTTTGCGTGTCGATCGCCGTCAGAGCCTAAAATAGTGGAGTTTCAAAACTACACACTACCCCTGGCGACCCCCCTCCGGGGGTTGGTCAGGATAGGGGACAGCTATTTTTTAAACAATTGTTTTGCACTTTCATAAATCTTTTGAATATGATTGCTAAGAAAAATTTTCGCGCGAAGCTGACAAGCCATTTCGCTAGGAAAACGCTAGAAAAGTCATTTCGCAAGGTCTTGCATTTATGCCACACTTGACCAGAGCTCAGTCTGCGAGAGAAAAAGAACAAATACATCTGCGTAATACATCGAAATCCAACGATTCACGGAGAATATACTAGTAAGCCACTACATTTTTGTGCTAATGTTTGCTTCACAGTTTTAATATGATAATCGTCAATGCCAAAATATGGAAAACTTATCAAAACCACGCAAATTACTCTAAATTCAAATTTTAAGAATATCAGTCACGTATTTTGAACAGAGGAAGTGAGTTTACTCTTCACGCGCGAAGATCTAGAAGTTGAACGTTTGGATAGAATAATATCCTTTTCGCGCGAAGCGCGAAGCCAACAAACCATTTTCTCTTTAAAGGTCAAGAAATTCCATTAAAAATAGAAATTATAATTTAAATTCAAATCCTAAAGACCCCTCTAAACTTTTCTCAATGGATTTCTAATTATTTAATCTTGCACAAAAAAGTTAAAAAAGCACATTTAAAACTACACAAACTGTGTAATAATACACACTATTTTAGGCTATGATCGCCGTAAAACGACTGAAACCGCCGAAAGTGAGCTGAACTCAGAACGAAGGTTTACAACTTCTCCACTGGCGGGCTTATGCAGCCATGTGGATGCGTGTAATTGCCTCTGGCGCTTGACGGTATCCCAGACCCGCGGATTTTTCTTGCCGGTGGTTGTCGATTCACTGCCAGGCACCAAAATAAATAAGAAAATCATCACGATTAAATAAGAAGACGAATGACAATACCTCTGTAACTTGAATAATACATAGATTACGTTCACCAGTAAAGTCGAAATCAGCGCATATTCACCAAAATATGACACTTACATCACTTAGTAGAATAAAATGCGCAGAATTTTAATAAATTTTTTATTTTCCGGTGAGTTTTGCAGTTTTTGTGTAACAATCATCTAAAGTAAGTATGGGAGAGCGTTCGGTGACGTCTACGCGCGCACATTAAAGATGCCGCCCATCGCGCACCGGATCTTTTCTAATTCGGATCGGGGATATGCTGCATCGCATGGTTATCAGTTAGTAGATCATATCCGAGGTTTCAGTGCGAGCTGAAGTGAAGTCAGCTGCATCTCTCGAGCACTGAACGGCGCAATTTTGTTTCTGGTTCTACGATCCAGAAAAATTGCTGTTCAAAGAATTCTAGGTTTAAAAATCATGAAAATAATAGTGATGTATCGGCGCCCTATGTAAAACGAAATCTAGAGCGAATAAAAATTATTGTTTTATCGTCAATGCAGCTGCCGTACAGGCAGGCCAGCGCTCACGATCGGAGTCAAGATCGGTATCTCAGGTGCGCGTGGGCGGCATCTTTGATGTGCGCGCGTAGACGTAGAATGATTAATACACAAAAACTGCAAAACTCACCGGGAAATAAAAATTTTATTAAAATTCTGCGCATTTTATTCTACTAAGTGATGTAAGTGTCATATTTTGGTGAATATGCGCTGATTTCGACTTTACTGGTCAGTAGTGCTGCATGCGGTATATGGCTTTTGTATGGGATAAGTGCAAGTTCCGAAAGCACTTCCGACTTGCCGTCCTGTACTTATTATAAAGGTATAGGGGGCAAAACCAGGTATCTTCCACCGTTCCACTATACTGCTGCCGTCACCCGCCTGGAGTTTAACGTTATGGCTCAACATGGCGCTTACATACCGCACCAGATTTAACCATATGTGTTGCCGCAACGTCACACTACAGGAGGGTGACGGCAGCAGTACAGGGGATCGGTGGAAGACGCCTGGTTTTGCCCTTATGTAATTACATTGTCTTTCTACTGTGAAGTTGTAAGGAAAGCACAACTTTCATCTTAGCCATTGCCGGTCGTGTCAGTCATCGTTTTGGCGGACTAACCGGCACGAGGGTGACGGTTAAGAAGACCTAAGACACCAAAGAAAACTAAGAAATTTAGAACCCAAGAAAACCTAAGAAAACTTAGAAACCTAAGAAGACCAATGAAACTCAAAAAATTAAGATGCTTTAAAAAACGGTAGATCGAGTGCGTGACGTGTCGACATCGCGTTTGCTTTACGGTATGAGGGTCGAAGAAATGGAAGGTCACCGTTTGGACGTGATTCGTCTGCTTAAGCTAACACAGCCCAGACCACACCGCATGCCTGTTTGGACTTAAGCCCTACTTAGAGTGATATCTGCTCAAGGCAATAAAATCAACCATGAACAGAATTGTCTGGTTCTATTGAACGGTCTCTCGCTTGCCAGTAGCGGAAGGCAGCTGAACTGCCAGGAAGTATCCAAAGAACAATCAGATTCAATCGTTTTCACTGATTTTTGTAAAGTGGTGCATGCGGGTAAAACTGGTGGAACATGCTGAACAAGCAATAAAAGCCATCCCGCGAGATTAATCTGCAGAAACCCAATAGGCTGCGTTACGAACATAATCCCGGTAATACTGTAATACATTGATTATCTAATAATAATAGTGCATTCTTAGATACTACGGAATGTAATGCTTGCCACGTATGCTGCCGACTGGTTTGGCAGCCCTCCTGCATCGGGTGCGGGAAAATACACTAATTTTGGCAGAAGTGGTTCGGTCTTTTGTAAACATCACGTGCCTCTGGAAGTTAACAATGCAGTGGAAAAACGCATTTGAATGTTTACACAGTTATGGAGTAACGATCATGCTCACTACGCATGTACGGAATTGACTGGGTGCTGATAGTATCAACTAATCTAGTTCAGTTCTCGAACAATCCTCACTCTTTTGGCAATCCCGAGTTCTGGCGCTATTCAAAATTCCTCCAGCCCGGTCTTTCCCGCTATTTTCTTACCACGAAACCAACGAGTAACACGCAATCATTTCCTGCTGAGGGTGCAGACATCTTGAATACAATTTCCCCAATTGTTTCCAGTTACAAGCGTTCTGGTAAAACCGTTACCGGAAGAAGAGTGTTTGCATGGTGAGCTGCTAGTGCGGCTTACGTAACCATTTAGCAGTGCCAGTAAAAAATTCTCCGGAGATCACAATAAAAATGCCTAATCATCGATTAAACAAGTC